CCACGACTGGACCGAGTGTCCTTTCGCGCACCCGGGGGAGAAGGCGCGTCGCCGGGACCCCCGTAAGTACCACTACTCCGGTGCGGCGTGCCCCGACTTCCGCAAGGGCGGCTGCAAGCGTGGCGACGCCTGTGAGTTCGCCCACGGGGTGTTCGAGTGCTGGCTCCACCCTGCGCGCTACCGAACTCAGCCCTGTAAGGACGGCACGGCCTGCCGCCGTCGCGTGTGCTTCTTCGCCCACACCCCCGACCAGCTTCGCGTCCTCCCGCAGCAGCAGCAGACGCCAACAAAAGCAGCGGCCGCGGTAGAGTCCTACGACGGCTCGCCGTTGCGCCATCAGGCGATGGAGTCCTACCTTTCGAAGCATATCATGTCTTCCTCGCCGACCTCGACGCTGATATCTCCGCCGATATCGCCGCCGTCGGACTCCCCGCCGATGTCGCCGAGCACCGCGGCTATTCGGCGAGCATCATGGCCGATGCGTTCGTCACTGAACGAAGTAGTGGCCTCGCTGCGTCAGCTGCAGCTCAACAAGGTTAAGTCGGATCTTAGTTCCTGGGGCTTACAGGTGGGTGGTGGCGCGTTCGGATCCCCGAGAGGCAGCGGGGCCGGGTTCAGGGCCGGGTTTTGCAGTCTGCCAACGACTCCTACCACCGCAAGCGCGGCGGTGAGTGGTGGTGGAGTAGGGTGGTTTGACGGTATGGATAGTGGTTTCACCGAGGGCGAAGAGCCAGTGGAGAGGGTGGAATCAGGGAGAGCTCTGAGGGCGAAGATCTTTGAGAAGCTGAGCAAGGAATGTGTTACGGAGAGGGCCAACGCCGCTGCGTCGACGCCGGCTCCCGACGTCGGGTGGGTATCGGAGTTGGTGATGTGATGTGGGCATTTCTGATTGGATGGATGAAGGGAAAATAAAAAGAAAAACGGATTTACGAAAGGAAATGCATGGCGTTTGGGAGGTAATTTTGTGGAAGACTGTAAATAGTAAAGGTTAAAAGCCCGGCCTGAAGAAGGAAGAAAGAAGGGTAATGTACAGTCTTTTATGTACATAGAACATGGCGAGGGTTAAGTGTGGATAGTGTGGATCTGTTTTGGGGATTTTGGCTGGAGAAGAGCGAGAGAGATGAGAGAAGAAGAGGAAGGTGGAAGTGATCTAAAGCTGCTGCCGTATACAGCCCACCGTGGATCTGTGAAAATTCTGATTTCGAATATCAATCATCTACCTCCTTTTTAATATTCTGTTTCCAAGCTTATGATTCCAATGTGGAACATGTAATTATCATGGTATCCCACCAATCTCATTATTGTAATATATGTCTATGTTCAGCTAAGCAGCTGGATGAGTACTGGTCACCTGTTGTATACCATAGTGGTTTCGATTCGCCGAGCCATCCTTTCCGTGGCACGTGGTGTCACCATGCCAAAGAATGGCAAGGGTGTCCGGTCCGGAAGAGGCACAACTCCTTTTTCTTTACTGGGAAGAACATTTGAACAACCGAGTGTCTCGAGCAAAGCCATCGCATGCTGTCTGGCGTAAATATTACATATTCTTATCCGTGGTTAGGTAACAATGGTCTCTTTTTATTCTTCTTTTTAATGAGATGCAGGAGGCTTCTTCTAGGCTGAAGAAGAAGAAGAAGCAGCAGCTGTTCCTCGCATCTTTTAAGGCTCTTCGTAGCTCGGTGTGCAGCCTAAAATTACTGTTATCATGTGCTTGTAGGGGTTCGTGAGGTTGATGTATATCCGCTTTGATGGGGACGGGGTGGGGTGGGGTGGGGTGGGGTGGGGAGGGAGGGGGGGTTCTCCCATTGATGGGGATAGGGGTATGGGTGGTGGTGGGGCAATGCTGGTCCGGTTATGGTTGCTTTTGGTTTATAGTTTCCATAAAATGGCACTAAAAACAGGTGCAAGTCGCCACGCGTCCCTCCTCCCCGACAAGCGTGTCGGACACTCCATGGAAAGTTGCCTCGCCGAGCTCGAGAAGCGAATGCCGCTTGGATCATCCGCATTCATTTATGGTGGTGCGGGGCGGAGGGGACGGTGTGCATGAGTGAAGTGGAGACCACGGCGGTGGGGTCCTATCCACGTCACATCGGCCTAACCCCGGTGCACCGGATGACTAGGATTCGGTACATCCGCCTCGTGAACGTGGTGTGGCTCACCGGGCGAGGACGGGCTGCTCCCCACTTGTGCACGGTGGCCGGGGTTTCCCTAAAACGCGCAGCTTGTAGTCTCGTTGCCCGGCAGCCTTTACTGTCGTTGACCGAGGCGGCCGAGTCGGCTCTTATGTACTACCGATCAAGACATTATATATATATATATATATATATATAGCTCATCATCCGAAGAGCCATAGTTTAGCATTAACGGTGCAGAATTTGTTCATCATCATTGATGAGGGTAATAATGGCGACATGACGCGCCACGACGTCAACCACGCCTAGACGATACTCTGCTCGAGGAACGGGGGCAATAATGCCGACTCGATATGCACTGATGTCACCCGCTCTCAGACAACGACTCCATCGTTGCTTGACCCCATACCCTAGAGTTCTAAATGAAAAAGGAGAGAGAACTTCTTCGTACAAAATCCCCTCCGCATCCACTAACTTGATCGTCGGAGGGGTCGGGCCAAGCTTCTGGCCCGACCTGTGTGCAGGTGCTAGACCGGGGTCGCCTCTTCCCGGCGCTGCGGCAAAGCTTTCCTGCCGACACGACGTCCCGACCGGACCATCGTAATCGGCCGCCAGGAGACCTCGAGGGACGCCGCACAAGATCCCCGTCGTTCGGACCCCCAACCAAACCGCGTCGGCCCCGAGGCCACTGCACAAAGTTATTTACACCAACAATCATCATCATCATCATCATCATATATACATGACTAAAGCAAGAGGTTTAGTTGGGGATTCTGTTGGAGCCATCTATCTGTGTTGTTCCTCGGCAAGAAAAATGCAGTGGTGACAAGGCAAGTTGTTCTGGGCCAAATCGACGACACTGGTTTCGCTCGCGTCCGTTGCCCAAAACATCCAGCTTTATGCCGTGGAGGGGGCGTCGCCGTCCAGCCTTGGCGCTCGACCGGCGCGAGCCGAATCGAACGAGCAGATACGATCCGTGTGTCGTGTGTGGGTCTTCCTTGGAGTCTCTTATTACCTCCTGAGGCGGAGGTGAATTAAATCTGCTTCCCTTTTCATCGCGCTCTTTGATTATTCGAATGGCATTATCGTTTCGAACGCTCCTCTTTTATCTCTAGCCGAGGAGAACACGAGGGTGAGGTCCGATACGTTACGTTGGGTGGTGGGAGTCGGAGCCCACAGTGGAAGCCAAGAGGGAGTTGGGAGTAGGATGTCATTCGATCTAAAGACTCCGTCCATCTTTCTATTGCATGATGATGATTCAGAGAAAGACTTGGATATGGGATCACTACTCACCGGTGTTACGTCGGAAACCTTATGCTAGTAAATGAGATATGATTGAGGTAAGAAGACTTGGAATCATCCATAGTAGACATTACAAGTAAAACATTCCTAACAACATTCACAATTTGCCATGGAGCAAGAGAGTGTCTCCATGTAAAACACTCGGCAAAGACCATTCTCATAAGCTAAGCTTAACCCTTGTAAGATAGATTTTGCCTCGCTTCTAAAAGTACCTACAACCCATAAAAACAACATAAGCATCATCACGTCGAAGCCAATATATAATTTTGGTTTTAAGAATCATCATAATTTAACTTGATTCAACTAAGAATTGACTAATATTTCTCCTAGGCAACTTAATTTGATTCAACGAGGAACTAATTTTCCTATTTAATAGGGCAAAGACCATAACAATTTAAGTTGATCCAATCAAGAGCTTGTTTTCTCGTAGATTCGATTGACTACACCACCTCGTTCGTACGAGTCAGATTCAAGCGATTGGCCCTCCTAAATCATCTTTAATTCATCGTATAGGCTGTCGTCCTATTATCGAAAATTCTTATGCGAGCACACACGTGAAGGTGATGGGGTCGTTCACTATGTGAAGAAGACCCCCATTACCAACCTTAGTCGAATTGAGGACTCAGATAGCACCTTCTTCTTCTTCTTTAGTAGACTTATTCACCCCTCGTCGTATTCAATCCCCAAAAAGTTGATTCCCTCATGTATAGTGAGATAGGCGCTCCTCCTAAGCCGTCATTGATTCATCTTGTTATCGAGAATTCTTTCTTATTCGAGCACACACGTGAAAGTGATGGGATGGTTAACTGTGCTAAGAGGACCCATTGCCAACCCTTGTTCGAACCGAGAACTCGGAGAGCACCGTCTTCTTCTTTACGTGGCGAGAAATGTTGGTATCTCCCAATTCTCTCGACTCAATCCTCCCCTTCGCCACGGCAAGCACATGGAATTAGTGCATTTTGGAATAGGAGGATTACTGTTCTTCCTTCTTCTTTTTTCCTACATAGAATTTTTTTTTTTTGAAAAAAAAAACATAATTATTGTTTAAAAATAGGTTTGAATATGATAGTAGCAAAGCGAGGAGCAACACCTTCCCCGCTATACGAAAACCCCATCCAACTCTGTACCACCCGGGGGGTTCCAAGATACTGAGAAGGCTGACATTTTGCTCCACTCATGACGATCATCGCAGCACGCAAGAACAACCCGAAAACAAACCAAAACAACCCAAAAACGAACCAAAACTAACCATTTTTAGCTGCACGAGCGAGCGACGGACAGCAAGCGAAGCGAGGGACAACACTTTCCCTTCTATACAAAAGCCCCATCCAACCCTGTGCCACCCGGGGGGTTCCAAGGTGCTGGATGCATACACTATATCATGTTCTCAAATCATATGCATTACAAATTGGTGAAAGGCATTCTTCACAACGTGACCTACCTAATACATACTCATCACAACAGACGAAATTGGCAGTGTAGGCATATGCTTCTCTGTTAAGATTAGTATTTATGATACCTCCTACTTTACGCTATATATATTATCGGAACTTAATGATGAGAGTATAACATAACAATCACCACATATTGCTTTGAGAGAAGGTGGGGCACTGTAGGAGCTTAACAATTCCTCTGGTACAGTCAGTCCATGGGGAAATGCCACATGAACTTTTTTATGCAATCAACACATCATACACACACACGAGTATCCAAAATCTGCGATTATGATTAGATTAGCAGATGCCAGCATAGATAAACAAGCCCTTACCAACATCAGCCACATCACCTCCGACTCCCACAATATTGGAAATAGAACCATGTGGATGGGTTTAGGCTCTAATTCTTGGATGATTTCATCTGCATGGAGGATGGAAAGAAAATGTCAGAAACCCTGGAGGGCAACAAAATAGTTCCATAGACACTTAAAAGTAGCATCTCATGCAGACTCGTAACGCTACACCCGATAACTGAATAGCGCAAGTGATACAAAATGGAAGGCAAATGTTGCTTCTTATTCTGATCAACACCACCAATCATCTCACCTTACTGGTTGTGCACAACTGTGAGAACGAACAAACACATTACTTGCACTGTAACTATAGATTATGGCCTACGATGCACCTCTGCGTCAGTTGTTGAGATCAGATCAGCACATAACCCTCACTTGTGCATGCTTTCGAATGGCAGCTACGATGAGCTTATAGCCACAATTCTACCTCTCTTAACAACAAACACAGCCTTGACAGTTTTCCTGTGGAGGACTGCCCCTTTCTAAAGGGGCCCAAATCTTGCGGAATATGAAATCAGTAACAAAAAAAAAAAAGTGTCGTTTAAGTGGATTTGTAAATTGAAAAAGAACTGCTGCTGAGGCATGAAAATATTATTTGGTGTGTTATAATGACACTAAAAGGGTGTGATTGCAGATAAAATACTATTCCAATATTGACAGCTGGACTGGTTTAAAATCAACACTTTCTTTAAATACTCCATTCAAATGGTCGGTGGCAGCTGTATTTTCCATTATCTTATATTCTGGTGCACTATAATGGCCTGTTGCAACTGTGAATTAATTGATCAGGAAAATATATTCACATTCTGTAGGAGACCTAGTAACAATCTGTTGGATCATACTTGCCCTTTATATGGTCAATATTTTAGACCATCAATGCATTTAAATTGAAAAGAAAAAGTGTCTGAATAATATATCAGTCTCAAAGATGCCAATTCTACCAGTTACAATCACTCTCATATCTAGTTGCTATTATCCGTACTGTAAATAGAAATCTATATGGAAGCTCTCAATTTCTGTAGATTGCGAAGGGCATTGTCTGCTTACATATCTCATGTCCCAATGATGGTGAGCCAAGTAACACCAGACAAACATGCTATGAGCATTGATAACATGGCCTACAGACTAATGATCGTGGAGAAACATGTGGATTATCTGGATAATTTCTAGTGTTGAAGGGGGGGACTTAGAACTAAAACTTTCCGCCATTAAAAATAAGCTGTGTTCTCATGCAGCTAGCTAGAGAAAATCAAGATTGTAAGACAAAAATAAATAAATATCTCCTAAAATTCTCTTGCAGAATATCATAACAATTACAAAAACTAATTACCACTGGTAATCGTAACTTATCTCTTCATTCTTTACAGACCTTGACAGAGTCACCTTACCTGAAGCCTGAGATCCTATCCAACTCCACCTACGAACCCTCATTCTGCCTTTCCAATTTACACAATGAACCAAGGATGATGACCCAAATTATTGGATTTGTTCAATGACATCGGCAGACAATTGAAGTTATGAAATATCCCATCGCAGTAAACAAATGGCTTCCTCGAGAACATAGAAGTTCGAGTTCCCCCAGTTGTTCATCCCTATCCTGTATCCTGTTGATTGTCACTAAAATAATCATCTTATGTTGCCCCACCTTAAGTGAATTATTATTTTATACGCAAAATCACAAATCCCTTCTGAGGCTTGCATTTCAAACATACAATGTATGAAATCTTATCAAAGTTAAGATACTAGATACCAGCTTACAATTTGATAATATTGACTGCTGATGGCATGGCTACAGCATTCGACCGACTCATCTAATTGATAAGAACCTTCATACCATAATGATCTGTAAAATCTTATTGCCAGCAGAGCTTAATGGCAGGAAGATATCCGCTGGCCACTTGCAAGTAATAGGGACCTCACAAATTGTTATAATCCTAAATATACAATTGAAACCTCAATATAATAGACATTAACCTTTGTTCCTTGCAAAAGGCAGGAGGCTATCCAGGCAGCCATACCAACCAAAAACCTTCACAAAGCATTCAGCCATTAAGCCATCATTTACAATTTCAAGGCACTAAGCTATAAGGTACCACTCTTATAATGTTTGAATGACAGCAGCAATGTGCCAGGATTGCGATAATTCATACGGTTAAATAATACAAAGCTCATTTAGGAAAAATAAATGTAAAAAAAATCACAATAACATACCAGACATGCTATCTATCAAATTATATGGATCACATTATGATCATGTAGTTGTAAAGATAATAGTAAAAGGAAAACCACCAAAATATATTACTTGATCAAATGTTTACTTCCAAGTGCTTAATTTACAACTTGTTATCTTCCAAGTACTTTCTTAAAGGAAACCTCGTGATTCTTTTATAATGAGGGAAACAACATCGTTTACATATCTTATTACAAGATAAAGGTCGAGTCAAATATAATGTGTCAGTAAGCTGCAGAGTTCTGAAATGGAATTATCTGCTGGTGTCACAACTCATTGTGCTGGGTTATCTTAATATGCCTATTCTTTTAGGACATCACATGGATGTGTCTGTCCCAGTCATAGTGCCAAGACATGAAGTTTAACAATTGAACAAGGTCCAGACCATTGCGTATGCAGGGGTGCAACCTGGGTGGTATCAATATAAGGCCAAACACAACCACAACCAACACTTGGATTCTCCAACCTTAAACCAAAAGTGCCTGACCTTGGGTTGCAAATTTTCTAACCATAATCCATGCCAGCTATATGTAGGGTTAAAAACACATGTCGGTCTGATTGGGTCAAGTTGAATCCAATTGGGTCAGGTTATAACAAAAATATTTACATCAAAAACATACTGTACTGAACAACTCATTTACCTTATGTAGTATGCACAGTAGGTAGCCAAATATACCAGGTTCCAATTAGGCCAAGTTAGAGTAGTCTTAGATTGAGTTACGATTGGATTTAGGTTGTTTTGGATTACTTCTAAACCAACCAAATATAGTGTCCAGTTGAACGCAAACCCATTGGACTAACTTAAAAGCCTTTGAGTTAAATCAAACCAACTTGCAGCCACATCCCAGAATGGAACACCATCTCATGAAATATGTACCATGCTGTTCTTGTACAGGGTCGGGAAGTAGTTCAGCAATATCATATAAAAAGTGTGATGCTCTAAAAAGCCTAATTAGACTTATGCTGAGTAGGGTACAGAGAATTCTAATAATAAAAAAATTTACAAAAAATTGCAAGAATCCAATTGAAAAAAAAAAAGGGTGAAAGAAGTACTCTGAAAAAGTCACACATGTTTTGTATTGCGTCGCTGGTCAATCTTAAAAGCTGAAGGATCATAAAAAAATTTAATGTAGCACCTTCTACAACCATCCATCTCTAGTCTTAAGATCCATGACACCAACCAAATATCAAATATCCCCAAAAGTTAGGATTCTAAGATCATAAATTTTATTGCTTATAGCCCCTTATCCTTTTCTAAACTTAAATCCATTAAAGTAACAATTAATAAAGGACTTTCGAATATATATACTTGTGGTGAACTCAGTGA